TTTTGCCACCTTCCAGATGCTTGGAAAGTAGTGCAGCTCCAAGCATCTGTTGAGGATGGCAGCCAGCAGCGAGTGCACCCTCGCGCTGAGATTTTTCAACTCTAGGTTGAATATTCCGTCAAACCCGGGAGCCTTCATGTTCGTACTGTGTTTCAGCGCTGAGCAAATTTGTTCCTCTGTAATCCGTTCTTCTGGAGGGACGGCACAAGGGGAGGCATCTAACGTCTGGACGCACTGCACAACCTGGTTCTCGAGTGGACTTGGGATTGTAGAGCCAAGCAAATGCGACTGGGCAATGTGCTCCCCAATTGCATTGGCCTTCTCTTCGTTGGTGATAAGCCGTTCGTCATTGACTCTAAGTGGTGGAATGGGCTTGGGGTGAGACTTCAGCACCTTGGCAACCTTCCAGAATGGTCTGGAACGGTCGTCCAGGTTCTGAACGAGCCGCCCGAAACTCTCGTTCCGGATTGAGACCATTCTGGAAGCGATCTGCCGATTCAGATCGACCATTTCGTATTTACGCTGCAGATCCCCAGTCCGCTGAAACTGGCGTCTACGAACATTTCTGAGCCGAATCAAGAGTTTGGTGTGGGAATCAATTGCTTGAAACTTACCCCTCACAGGAACTCGTCGAACGCACTCTTCGTCAGCCACGGATATGGCTTGATGGAGACCCTCCAGGGCCCGGTCGATGTCCTCCACTGTGTCGAGTGGTGGGTTGTCGTCGATGTGGCGGTCGACCACGCGTCGAAACTGGACCCAGTTGACTCGATGGTAGTCCTTCCGCTGGCACGGTGCAGGGGCCACGTTGTAGCCCAGCTCGGTCAGCACCGGTTGGTGGTCCGAACTCAGGTCGTTGACGGCAACCGGCTTGGCTAATCTGGTGTTTGCCAAGAACAGGTCCAGCGTCGATGGGTTGCCCGTCGGTGATGTGAAGGTTGGTTCGTCCGGAAACCAGACGGAATAGAGACCATGCTGGGAATGGTCGAATAGCAGGCGGCCGTTCTGGTTCTGCTGGTAGTTCCACCAGGCCTCGTGCCGGGCGTTCAGGTCCCCTCCGATTACGAAGCGGGCATTGGTGCGGGTTATGATGGCAAGGTCGTTCTTGAACTGCTGTGCTGTACCATTGCTAACGGTACATTGCCGGGGGCAGTAGACAACGATGAACCGGACGTTTCCGGTCGATGTTTCCACCTCAACGCCGACGGCCTCGATGATGGAAGTGCGGTAGTGGGGTAGGGTGCAGTACTTGATGCCTTTCTTGATGATGACCGCGACACCGCCCCCCCTGGAGCTGGTGCGATCAAGCCGGACAATGCTGTGGTCGGGCAGCCAGAAGCTGTCACCGGTCTTGAGGTGGGTCTCGGTGAGAAGGCCCACGTCGATGTCGTGCTTGCGGAGGAAGTCTGCAAGCTCAATGTTTTTCGCCCCTACGGAGCGAGCGTTCCAGTTGGCGATCTTTATGGGTTCACGGTCCATAATTAGCGACGAAGGAGATGATAGCTTGGAGCTGTTGTGTTCTTGTTGCGCAGGTGCGCTTGATGATGATGGCCTGGGCCAACAGTGTGACGATCTCATCCGTTGACAGCGGAGAATCGTCTGTAGCTTCACCGGTTGTACCGGCCAATCCCGGAGCAGGGGGATCCGTCGATGGGCCGGAGGCTTGACTGGGTACTGCAGCGGCAGCCGACTGGGCAGCAGCCAACTGTTGGTTGAGCGGGAGCGGCGGCAACACTGGAATTGGCCGTGATTGGACCGGTGATAACGGAGGAAAGTTCTGCGCGTTGTTTTCTGGAACCTTCTTGCGACCGGGCTGGCTGTTGGACGAGGCCTTCTTCCGGATCTCGGCGTATTCGGCCCGCTTCGGACAGGCCTTACTCGTGGCCTTGTGGGCGGCACCGCAGTTGGCGCATGTGGGAGCGGCTTCCTCGATGCTGTCGCAGTTGTCGATCTTGTGGTTTTTGCCGCATTTGATGCAGCGGCTGGCCATGCGGCAATTCCTGGTGCCGTGCCCGAACAATAGGCAGTTCGAGCACTGAGTGACGCCACGGTGGGTGGGTTTATACCGCTCCCACTTCACTACGATGTGGAACAGTGTGCGTGTCGTCTGGAGATCCTTCACGGTTGTGGAGTTCTTCTCCAGATGGACCAGGTAGAGCTGGTCACGATACTTGATGGCCTTGCTGCGGGTCATCTTGTGGACATCGACCGGCTTGAGGCCGTTCGCCTTAATCTCGTCCATTAAGGTGGTGGTGTCCATGTCGTGGAGCCCGCGCAGCACCACTTTCAGCGGCTTGGTGGCCTCGATGTCGTGGGAGAAGTACTCCAGCTTCATTCTGTCCAAGAGGGCCTGAACTGCGTTGAAGTGTTTTTCGGCCGGGACCATCAGTTTGTAGCCTTCCGTGCACCGTTGAATGGTGCAGCGAAGGCCCTGCTTAATGTAGAAATCCAGCTGCTCCCATAGCCCGGGAGGGAAGCCCTTCACATAGAAGGGTGGCAACTTAACTTTTTTCGGCACCGTCTCAGGGTCCGACTGCGGCTGCGCTCCGTTCTGCAGGGCGGAGAACGGATTGTTGCTCAGCAGCTTTTTTGCTGCTGATACGGTGGCGCTGCTGTCTTCAGGTCTGGGTCGTTTAGTTCCGGGAGGCCCCGGCTGCGGGTCCGCAACGCCTGTCGGGATGGGCAATGGGGTTTTCTTCTGCTTCTTCTGGGCTGGCTCGGTGGTCGCGCCGTCTCCTGGGAGAGTCTGTTTTCCCGGTAAACCGGCACTCGCGTTACCGCGCGATTTCTTACCCATGGCTGGGTCAGCGAGAGCGTCACTACACAACGCGGAGCTAATTCGACTTGCGAACGAACGAACGAAACTAGAGAGAATTCAAATCGACTGAACTGCTCAACAGTCTGGCAGCGAATGAGTCGCGAGCGATGACTTCAACGAGCTTAGGTACTTCATATTTATACCTGCTAACCTATCAAAATTCTCTAACCAATGAGATTCCGTTTACATACGGACTATCACGCTTCACGCTCACTCGATTCTACTCATTATCTATTCAACTCTAACTCTATCTACTACACATAGAACAAGCATTTAACGGACAATTTAAAAGTATCGTAGTTGGTAGTACCGCCACCTGTGGCGCGCATAGTCAATTCCCTTGCCTTTGACGTTTACACACTACCGCCATCTGTTCAGTGTAGTGCCCACCACAGTGTATTCAACAGATGGCGGCAATGTTTTAGCGGCGATGTTTTACAGTGAGAAATATTCAATGTGTTATGTCTCTTTGTCTGTGCTGTAAGTGTCAAATTAGCAGGGTGGCCAGCAAACCTGGAAAACCAGAAATACCGGGAAACATCCGAGAATTTGAAAAGTAACCGGGAAAACCAGGGAAGTCGGCGAGAGAACCGGGAAAAATAAATTAACCATACCATAGGACAAATTTGTACACCACAATTTCAGAATAAACCATTAAAACAGGGTGATCCTTTACCGAATGAATGTCTTGCTCTATTTGCTGCATAATTTTCTTCAGTTTCTCGTCTTATTGTTTTTAGAATTTAATCACTCAGCAATATTGCAAATTGATTTTTGTCGTTTCAATTTCAGACGTAAAGTGCATGGTTCTTAAAAGAAAATATTGAAGATGCTGGACTTTGGAAACAAATATCTGTAAAAACCGATACATATATATATATCAAAACGCATTTCTCTCTTTCTGTCTGACCCTTTTAGACTCGGAAACTATTGAACCGATCGGCGTGCAAATTTGTATGCAGGGTTTTTTGGAGCCGGCAAAGGTTCTTATGGTGATTCGGAACCCCTCCCCCTCTGTGGGGAAGCCCCATCTCGGTAAACGCCAAGGAATTGGAATTTTCATATCCACGAACACGAAACGAAAATTATTTATTGTATCCATGTGTTTCACTTATACATTTTTGCCAAAACATTCCGCTTTGAGCTCAACCCATCTCTGTTTTGGCTGCTTCCTGAATAGCAAAGAAACACACCATATTACATATTCACCTTTTTTCTATTCTGAATCAACCACTTTTTCACCACTCAACTGACAGACAGTAGTATGCTCCACACTGTAACTGGAAAGTACCCATTAATGGGTGAAAAAGTGCCCATTTCGCGGTAAAGTAGGTAAACTCATAAAATGGGTAAAACGTTTTTACCCACTAATGGGTAAAGAGCTTATACGTCAAATCATGGGGTACTTTTTACCCATTTCCAGAACGCATTGTTTTCCGTAACTGGGTAAAAAAGTACCCATTTTTTAAAATGTATTAATGGGACTCAAATTTGTGGAATGAAACAAATATGCTTTTAAAAACGTTATAAGCTAAGAAATCATTCAAATCATATAGCATTTCTTACCTTGAAGCTTTTTGAAGCTATCACCATTCTTTAAACTATTCATATATATCACTTTTTGTAGTTTTCGGAACAAATGCACTCGAAAATGTAAACAAAGTATGTCAGCAACGTTATGGTGCAACAAAGATATTTTTCACCCAATAATGGGTAAATATGTACCCATTTTTGATCCCTGAACAGGTTTCGGAAATGGGTGAAAAAGTACCCACTATTTGAAATTTTCATTTACGCATTTTTTGACAGGTTCATACACTACCACAAAATGGGTACTTTTTCACCCATTAATGGGTACTCGCCAGTTACAGTGCATTGCATTGCAATTGATCAGTTCACGAAGATTTGCCGCACTCTTCTCTCACCCGTAAGTTTTGACAGTTTTGGGTGGTTTGTTTTGGCTCCCATTCGTTGCTATCTCTTTTACTCAGAAGCAAAATGATAGGGAGCAAAAAGTGAGGTTAGGGACCGTGCACTGATCTATGTAAATAATAAACATCTCAGAAAACAACAACAAATACATCACAGTCACTCCCGTGTTTAATCGGTTTTCCGGAGAACTTTGAGATTTAGACGTAATTGCTGTTGTGAACAAACATGTCAATCGCTGATTTCTCGTGAATAAAAGAAAAATCTCGTGAACAAACTATACCAAATGATAGAGGAACCATTTATCTACCTGTTTGTGTTGTTAGTTTTTTAGATTACGTTTTAGTTCGCGAGAAATCGTCAAATGAAGTGTTTGTTTACAAAAGCAATTACGACCTTATCTCGAAGTTCTCCTGTTTTATCATCGAGTTTTTTTGCAGCAGTATAATAATTATTATCAGTTTTACCAGTGTTCTCCGTGCAATAATCTACGTTCTCGAAATCCTCTGCGGTCATGAATGTGTTAATCGGCGATAAGCGCGATAACGGAACCACCGTTTTCGTAATTCATCAGTATTAGTACCTGAGCGTACGGCTCCGGCTGCCGCCCCAATCTTTCATCAACCTTCAGTCCAGTCCGGTAGTTGTGTATTAACTGCTGATCGTTATCTTATCATCTACATCGTCACCCTTGCGAATCTCAAAATACGGTAAAAATCGTTATATTTATTAGTCCATAAGTGAACCTCGACGAAGATGGTCTCCATCATTCCATTCTATGCTAATGGTAAAAACAAACGGAAAGTGTTCCTCTCGGTTGGCCTGGTGCTGGCTATGGTATACGTCTTGTACTCGATCGACTATCAGCCATTACACGAGAACTGCTTTGCCCGAGAATTCCCCGACCCGTTCCGGGTACTGGAAGATGTGCAGCAATCACACAAACAACCTCAACACGGGAAGAACATCTTCTTCCATGAAACGTCCTGCTCTGCAGATGGGATAATTAGGCTGAATGCTCGCCAAGCGTGTGCCATCGAATCGGCCGCACGGATGAACCCCAACTGGAATGCGTTCGTGCTGTTCGCAGCCCCGGTGGGATTCCGTAATAAGAGTGCGCTTCCACTGCTGGACGCTCTGCACGCGTATCCCAACATCAATCTGCGGTACGTGAACCTCTCGACCTACGCTCAGGATACGCCGCTGGAAGATTGGATGCACACTGGAGAAATTTTCCGCTCCAAGTACATGAATTCCCACCTGTCGGACGTTATGCGATATCTGACGCTGTTCAAGTACGGCGGAACCTATCTGGACTTGGACGTAGTGGTGCTGAAGTCGTTCGATACGATGGAACCGAACTATGCCGGGGCGGAATCGCCCCGCTGGGTGGCAGCCGGAGTCATCAACTTTGAATCCGACGGACACGGGCACGAGTTGGCGGCGATGTGCGTCAGGTAGGTGCTGCTAAAGGGTGCGATTCTATAACATTACCCCGAATACCATTCACGCGAAACATAAGCGTCCCCTTCAAGGGATGGTTCGTAGATATCGAGAAACTCCCAATAAGTATTCATCATTATCACATGCTGTTCTTTTGACTTACCCACCAATTGAGCTGATTTCCTGTAGGTGACAGGTTTATGGTAGATCGTAATAACATACAATGTATCAGCTCAATTGGATAGAGGACAGCAGAGAAATTGCGGTGGGTGACACCTTCCACGGCGCTATTTGGGGAATTCCTGTAACTCAAGAGAACAGCATGTGATAATAAGAAGGGTGAATACTCATTGGAGTTTCTCAGTATCTACGAACCACCATCCCTAGAAAGGGACGCTCATTGATTATATCAAGCAAACATTGCAATGTGGTGACCTTGAAACTGGTACTGTACTGTTTGTTAGAGAAAATTACTATTACTATCTAGCACACATGGACGAATGGACAGTTTGTTGTCCCATTAATCTGTTTCCCCCTTGTTCGCACTAGTTCGATTTAAATGGTGCAGTAATATAAACCTCGAATTAAACGTCAAAAAGCCCTATGGGCCATGGTGGGTATATACATGGTGATTCGGCTTTGGCACTATATGAGCGAGGAGATCGCCGGGGGGAAACCTCCAACAAACCGACATTAATGACCATACAAATTACAATGAAATTTCTAATCAAAGCACAAAACTGCCATCTGCCGCCGTGTTCGCAAAAAATGTGTATCCTAGCTACGAACACGTGTACATTTTTTTTTTTTTTTTGAGTTGGTTCGTGTCTAATCTATTCCGTACATATTATTTTTATCTAGATAAAAAAAAAAATCTATTGTTTTGACAATTAGGAACGCTGCACATTTGAATCGGCCGTAAAATTTAAAAAAAATCAGGGCATTCTCACCTCTCTACATTTAATATTGATTTGGCTTTTAGTAGATTCCCAGAAAGAAATCACAATTCTCAAATGTACTGTAGTCAACAAGTATTTATTTATAACCGCACTGGTTGAATGTTTATTATTTGCAGATATTGTTTACCTTCTCAATAGCAATACGTTCTTGATATGACCGCTTGATGTAGATGATTCATCAGTACACATTCGTAGCCTTTTCAAGAAGTTAGTAATAGTCTAAATGAAGATTGTTGCTGAGTAAGACTCTTATCATAATAAGAGTTATCATCATATATTATATACACACAAAAAATTATCGTTAGTACAACTGAAAAAACCATTGGTAGAATTAAAAGTTTTCGTTGGTTCTTTTTGGTAGAAAGTCTTTAGCTTTCAAAACAAAAGTCAGCTAACTGTCAATTCAAAAGTTGCGTGCATGCTACTTTTAAAAGTTGAAACTTTCAAAACGAATTGTAGTTCTGTCAAATGAAAAGCATGCTAGTGTTATAATTAAAAGTGGATTATTTTTGTATTGAATCAAACTTTTGTCATGAAAGTTTGGTATAGTTGAAATAACATGTGCCGTTTTGAATCTATAACATAAGTATTTTCAATTTAAATTCAAGCATTTTCAACATTACAATATCAATTTTGATTTTAATTTTTTATAAGCATTATTTCTATTAATTATTTTTTTATGAATTAAACAAATAACCTCAAATATATTTATTAATATCCACAAGAATATACGTATTGTAAAATATAACAAATATTATCCATAGGCTCTCAGCGAGTATAAAATCGTTGTCATTGTTCTGCTTTATCACAAAAGTTGGATCACCGACGAGGTTGGATGGAATCCGGAACTCAGATGGATTTTTTCCGCCGATTATTGATTCGGACCTATTGATGACAACGGTAGATTTCATCGTCTGGAAATAAAATAAAGTTTACTTGATGCAATAATATTGATAATTAAATACTTACAATTTTAACTGTTGATGTCACCGCGTGCGAACTACATATCCGGCAAAACCAGCAATCCGGCAAGTAAGAATATTGCCTTGAATATCTAACGAATTTAATTTATGCTTCTAGTTTCGTTCCACACAAAGAACATGATTTCGACAGTGAGCATGCATAAGGGCCTATGCGCGATGATCGATTCTCTTCATCGATTTTCTCTTTGCATTGCTACAGCTAAGCGCAACAATTTTGTAGAATTTATTCAATGTAGAGTTGTAACATGTTGCATTGGCTATCAAAAGCAACAGCAAACGCACCGACAAACGTTAAATCTAGCGAGTTATTAACAAAAGAGAAAATCGATGAAGAGAATCGATCATCGCGTATACGCCCTTATGAATGCTCACTGTCGATTTGCAAATTTTGACGTCAAGGTTAAAATTAGCGGCAAATCTATGTCCAGTGCTGCCAAAAACGTTGCTATGACAAGGTGTTTTTGACAGTTAAACAGTTTTCATTTTAAAAATATGCACTTTTAAAAATACAAGTTGAAAATGAAAAATAAACTTTCAAAACAAATCAAATACTTTCATTTTGAGAATTTTCGTGCTTAAAACTATCAAAGTCGGGAAACTTTTATTTTGAAAATGTATGGTTTTTATTGATACAATTTTTGTTTTTTGTGTGTACTAGCTGAGTGTGCCCGGTCTTGCTCAGGATTCAATATTAGCTTGAGTTTATGCGCCGATTTAAAAAAAAGCATGCTATATTGTACGTAGCCCCCCCCCCCTATTATCTAAGGGGCTACCCCCTATGATTATCTCCTTATACCCCCCCCACTCGCCCCCACATGCCTAATTTGGTTCCATTTGCTTGATTAGTTCTCGAGTTATGCAGAAATTTCTGTGTCATTTGTATGGGAGCCCCCCTTACAGAAGGGGGAGGGGTCTCGAACCATCATAAGAACCTTCCACGGCCCCAAAAACCCCTGTATACAAATTTTCACGCCAATCGGTTCAGTAGTTTCCGAGTCTATAAGGGTCAGACAGACAGACAGACAGAAATTCATTTTTATATATATAGATAAGGAAGATGAATATCAGACAAAATTTTCACCGAAAGCCGTTTCCCAGAATGATATTTCCTAGAATGTACCATTTATCATAATGAACTATTCCCCATAACAGACCAGTCCTCAGAATAGACTGTTACCCAGAAAAAAAATAAAGTTGGGCTTGCAGTTCTGAATGCAAGAATTGTCCACTGCTTAAAGAAGAAACAATTTTAGACAAACGTTGCACAAGGTCCAATGTACTTTTATCGATTATCTTCATCAATTTTGTCTTAGAATCACCATGATCATGTCCAATGTCCGGTCCGCTAGGAATCTTAACAATGAGACCATTCTAGCCCAATATTCTTCTACTATAGACGCCAGCATTCATCAGGATGAATTCAAATTTGCCAGCGCTGGTCATACGGAGCAATTATAACATGTTGAGGGGGGGAGGCGTGGTATAGCCTTATTCGCAAGCATATTATTAAATTTTCACATCTGTATGACTTCTGGATGGTCAGTGCCAGGAAAAACGCGAAGTGGAGGGATTCCATAAACCTTAAATATTGCATCCGAACTAACATTTGCATAGTCAGGTTTCAAAACTATATGCCCTACTGTAGTATATAAGTCAATGAGCACTGTTCTCTACGAAACATATTGCGCGCATGTTTTCGGTGTTTGCTATTCACATCCGTAAAATTATCATCGTTCATTCTCATTCCGATTCGCGTCCTCTCGCACGAATTAAAACAATGCAAAAAATATTCGTGTCCTCTTGCACGAATTAAAATAATTCAAGTCTGATTCGCGTCCTCCCGCACGAATCTAAATTTCCATACTGATTCGCGTCCTCTCGCACGAATCCCAACATTATTTTATATATTTATTTTTGATTCGCGTCCTCCCGCACGAATCCTAACATTATTTTATTTATTTATTTATTTTTTGATTCGCGTCCTCTCGCACGAATCCTAACATTCATATTTGATTCGCGTCCTCTCGCACGAATCAAAAATTCACAAGACACGGGGCCTGTTCACAGGTTTGCATTTTTCAACAAAGCCACCACCCTTCCCCCAGACAAAAGTCCTTCTTCACGTGAAACTATCAAGCCAACATGGCCGCCGCCTGTGGTGTTCCTCAGCCTCACCAACCCTTCCAGCTTATGCCTCCAATCACACATTTTTTTTTTTTTTTTTGTAACATTCTTCACAATTACAAATTTTTCACATAAACGTATGCTGCACTTTTTCTTTTTAAACACCATCCATTCCCAATACGTACCAGTCCCTGGGAGCCGCCGCGCCATTGTCGTAACCTTTCCGCAACATTTTCACTTGGTCACACGAGCAGTCACCGTGTTCTTCCGTCGATATTTCTTGACTTTTCTATTACAGCCCAAGCGCCAAGAAAAAACAAGCTACTTCCAGAATCGACATTCCAGCTAAGAGAAAAACAAGATTGAGTGGATGATTGTGTGAGTGACAGTGTATCATATCACGAAGAGAGTTCTCCAGATGCACAAAAGTGACTGCGCGCTACATATAAGTAGTTGTGATATCGCGATAACTTTTGGTTCTTCTTCTTCTTCTTCATTTTTATAAATGGATGGCGAGATGGATGGTGGATTTTAGTGTTCGTGAGATTGCGCTTGGAGATCTCTATGGAAATGTTACCTGTGTGCAAGCGCTTGGCGAATTTTGTCGGTGTTAGGCGTATGTTATGAAATTTGCAGGGGAGAGATTCAATACACATTGACGGAAGAACACGGTGACTGCTCGTGTGACCAAGTGAAAATGTTGCGGAAAGGTTACGACACCTACTAATTCTGTTTTCGTCGAAAAGTAGATCGGACCTCAGAGCAAACCAGAGTAACTCTGAGTAAAAGAGAATTTGAGAGGTACTCAAATGAAAGCCGTCTTCTCCCTCGGCGGATCCCTTGAGAAATGTGGAAATCTACAGTCCAAAGCCCTGCACGGCGAATGTGAACGACCCAAATTTGAGGTTAGATAACTCATAAATCACATAAAGTGCCGGAACTCAGCGATGAGTAAATTTGTCGCATGTTTTCCCAGAGTTTTCCAGGTTTGTCCAGGAAAAACTTCCCAAATATGACAAAAGTAAAGATTGGATTCACTCCTAGACTGAGTAAAATTTTCCGGCAGATTTTTGAGGTTTTGAGGCAAATTTACTCATCATTCCTGCACTTTTGGCGATTATGAGTGAACTAAACTCAAATGTAGGTCGTTCTCATTCACCGTGTGAAACTCAAGGAATTTTATTAAGCAAATGGAAGATTCTTAAATGCTAAGAGGAAGAGCATAATGCTAAGAGAGATAATAGGGGGACTTTTATGAACCAATTTTCTGTCAAACGCGAACCAACGCGAACGGTCGAGCGAACGTATAGAAACGCGATAATTTTCACGACAGCGAATCTACACGGCGAATGAGAACGACTCAAATTTGAGTTTAGCTCACTCATAATCGCCAAAAGTGCAGGAACTCAGCGATGAGTAAAATTTGTCTCATGGTTTCCTGTGGAAAACCTAAAAAATCTGCCGGAAAATGAGGAAATTGACGAAAATTTTATTCAGTCTCGGAGTAGTACCAATAGTGAGTGAATCCAATCTTTACTTTTCTTAAAATCGGGAATTTTTCCCTGGAAAATCCTGGAAAAACCTGGGAAAACATGAGGCAAATTAAGGTTCTACAAAGGGTAAGTAATTTTGTGTTCTTCTTCTTTTTTAAATATCATAAAATCATCATCATTAGTTTACACATACATTCATATATTATGAATACGAAAATTTAAAACATGTATTTCGTGGGTAAAACACGAAAATTTCTTGGGTAAAACACATTCACTGTATTTACTTACTTGTGTTCTTCGAAGTATAGCACAATTAAACGCAATCGAATACACGAAACTCAAAACAACTGCTTCACAAAACTCTTGGTGAACAAAATTCATCACAAAGAAAACCATTTCTACTTTACTGCTTTGCTAGCAATCGTGAAAGTATCATTGAAACAGCGATGCCAGATGTTATGCCTCTAGCAATGAATTTAAGTTTATTAAAACAATTAATTGCGAAGTCTGCCTTATTAAAAAAGATGAGTGGATGTATTAAATGGTGGATAAATATCAAAAACTGATTAAATAAAACATAAATGACCATTTTAAACATTTTACCGGTCCAATTAAAAAAGTCACAGAAGATTAAATTCAACACTAACAGGGTTGATGGTAGCAGTGCACGTAGCCTGTTATACACTTTCCCGCTCAGGGGTGTAAACAAACTTGCATACAGCGCAGTCTGGCAGTGCTTATGTTTTGTCTGCTACATTCTTATCCACTAGATAGTGTGACATCACATTTGCTGTTGTATTGAAATGAAGGAAGAAAAGAGATGGTTAAGTTTTCCTCACCATACCAGTTGATATTTATGAAAAATGGGCAGTTTTGGCGTGGGGACATGCACTTCCAATGAATTTTACCAATACATTTAGAAAATGATGATCGAAGAATATTTCAAAAAGAAGAAGTAAACAAAATAATGATCCTTTGTAGAACCTTAACTCATCGCTGAGTTCCTGCACTTTTGGCGATTATGAGTGAACTAAACTCAAATTTGAGTCGTTCTCATTCGCCGTGTACTTTCTTGTATTTTGACAGATGAGAAATCCAACTTAAACACCTGCGCGCCTGGTGGCAGGAATTAAGCACTAACCGGCGGCGATAAGTCTGTGACAGCCCTTGACAATTTCATTAATTGTTTAATTTCAATGTAATTTCATGAAAATTTCTTGTCAGCATGGATGAATCTTGTACAAAATGCATGAAACTATTTTGTAATGCATTGTTCTTAAATAAAAAGCTACTTCAAGACTTATAAATTTCTGAAAACAGGTTAAGGTTCCCGCATAAACGCGAACCATAAATTGACCTTACCTAAAATGGTTAAAAATTGTTTATAATCCCTGCACACTTAGAAAATAATACCGAACTCGGTTTGATTTCAACCGAGTTTTTATCTGCTGAACGCTCGGTAGTCTGCTCGGTTCAAAGAGGAATAACCGAGCAGTCGTTAGTTCTTTTTGTACCCACAATCTGTCAAAGTTACCGAAAATCTCGGTTGACGAAAAATAAATTTAAGCAGAAATTACCGAACATCGGTTCACTCAAGAACTACCGAGTGCTGTCAAACAAACCGACCCACCTGTTGTAATTACGGAATTCGGTTCTTTTGGGCAGCGCTCGGTTTTCACTTCAAATCCTGCTTTAAATTTGGATTAAGGATACGTTGCTTCGAATTTTCATAAAAATAAAACCAGTTTTGTCAAAGAAATGTATGAAGTGTGTTTATTTTATTTGTTTTCCCGCATAAACGCGAACCATCACATGACCTTACCGATAATGGTTATAAATTGTTTATAATCCCTGCTAAACTTCAACTGAAATGGTTATGGAACTTTACATGAACGTTTGTGTGATAAAGTTTTAACCTTATGTGTTATGGTTTTTTGGAAGCGGACCTTACAAATAATGGGTTGTTAAGAACCATTACCATTCCAAATTCTTGTTTTCTCCATACATTTTCAGAAAGAGAACTATATTAGAACGTTTTTACTTATGGTTTGAGAACATTAATGGTTATGGTTATGGTAGTCAGTAAGGTCCATTAATGGTTTTGTATTATCACTCAACTTTACGTGAAATATATCGTGAATTGGTAATCAGTAATTTACAGGCAACCAATTCGCGATATATTCCACATAAAGTTGATCGATGTTACAAAACCATTCATGGACCTTACTGGTTACCATAACCATTACCATTAATGTTCTCAAACCATAAGTTAAAAGGTTTTAGTATAGTTTTCTTTCCGAAAATGTATGGAGAAAACAAGAATTTTGAATGGTAATGGTTCTTAACAACCCATTATTTGTAAGGTCCACTTCCAAAAAACTATAATACTTAAGGTTAAAACTTTATCATTAAACGTTCATGTAAAGTTCCATAACCATTTCAGTTGAAGTTTAGCAGGGATTATAAATAATTTTTAACCATTTTCGGTAAGGTCAATTTATGGTTCGCGCTTATGCGGGTTGGGATGCAGAAATGTGATTTTATAATTGCAAATTATTAAAAAAAGAAGCTGTTCAAAAAGGAACCGTCGCTACCATGAGAAGGAGAGGCTCAATCGAGCGAAACTAAAAATTTCTCACATGTAGTGCTCATACTACCTACACGATAGACTGCGCCGGCAAGAAAGGAATGGAACTGCTTGTCCTGTTGCGGTGGTTCCAAACCGAATGCAGTAAACGAACCGAACCAAACCTTAAATGCAGACGCAACGTCAAGTTGGACATTGACCAACATTGATCCCAAACAGACGGCAAAGTCTGCTGAATCCTCCATGAACGCTCCTCGGCAAATCAATACCGGGCCATTCTTATCAGTGAGAAAATCATCTTCTGGCTGAAAATAAAAATTAAAGGTACTTGTATAATACGATAACCTATCCAATAGGCAATCTAATAATCTTACACTTATCCACTCCATGACGCCAGCCAATGGATTTTTCTTGGTAGCATCATTGATTTTATTTCGCTTAACACCACGTGATGGGCATTTAGCACGGATTATTGCCAGCGCTCTGATGAATTCTATGGGAAATTAATTATCTAAATGTGTGGACTCATTGAAGCTTTAAACGCAACTTACTGTTTTTCAACTCCACGAACATATCAGCGTACTGCTTAAGGATCTTATTCTGTAATTCTTCCCAGTGATCGGTGAACGACTTCGCTCCAGGCTTGATTTTTGTAAATTCCAGTTTGATCTACAGAAATAAATTATTAATATTCGATCTACCAAATCTCAAGTACAGTTTTTGTATAGGTCCTGACAAGGGTGTGAATATAGTAAAATAATCAGATTGTTTTTATCTATCAAAGAAATCACAGAGCCTATTGAAAAAGTACTCATGAGATTATTCAATATACACTTACAAGTTCTCCATTAAAGGCACCAATCACGGGAAAATCTTTCAAATATTCCACCAAAGTCCCCGCTGTACGTTTTTGTTGTCGACTTGCAAATGTTTTCTCCCATAGTTCAACAATTCTCACCTTAGATTGAACATTTGGAACAATGAACTTCAATTCAAGCACCTGAAATTTGTAAGAAAATATTAATCGTTTACCCATTTTGATATTTACCTTTAAATTTACAAGGTCCTCCATATTGTCATCTTCTTGTTCAAGAGTCGCATCAATTTCATTTGTATGGCTGAATTCACCAAGTTTTCGGCGTTTGATTATGCGTTCATCTGACTGCCTTGCCACATTCTCCATTCTGTAATATACACTGCCAGCATGACGGTTCAGCCCTCTTCCGTGGGGATGGAACCACAGCGACTAAAAACGAACGAGATTCAGTTTACAAGACAAACTTTCTACTATTTGGCAAACAGTGTTTGTGTCGAGGTTTGTGCTACTGCCGTAGTTGACATTGTTTATGAAACGTAGTGTAAAGCCAATGAGCTGGATTACCCTGGGGGGGGGGATGTACTGTCAAATCAGCCTACTGATCATCTTGTATGAAACTGGTTCCAAACGTAAACAAACGCTGTAGGTTTCTTATGGCTTGTTTACGTTTGGAACCAGTTATGCGAGGTAGGCGACGATTGTTCGTATTTGACAGCCACCTCCCCCCCTTGGGATTACCGAGGTGAAGCAATCACACACACAACTGAGTGACAACACTGTATAGAAGAAGCATCAAAGGAAAAGGAAGGGACAAACAATAATTCTAGATTGATTTTAGAATGGGTCCTATCTCCATTTTTCGATCAAAGAATCGATTAACTTTATTCGGTTTCTACCGCAACCTGAGCGATGGATTTGAAATATTTACACATGCAATCAAATCTCAAACCTTGAACTGTTGATTGCATGGATCAGTATTGCAAATCCATCGCTCAGATCGCGGTAGAAAGCGAATAAAGTTAATCGATTATTTAATTGACAAATGAAAATGGGACCTATTCTAAAATCAATCGAGAATTGTTGTAATTTAATTATTGATCGATATTAATCTCGTGTAACATTTGAAAAGCGCCTATCATTGTTGATCAAGCTATCATTCAAATTAGAGCGCCTTTATTAGTAGAGTAACATGTCAAAATTGGAACAACCGATTAGGTGTCATTTCCATACAAATCGCCGTTTCAATCCAGCAGAAGGCTTGTCAAATGACTGAGATGACGTCGCTCTACTAATTCAGGCACTCTAATTCAAATAATACGCGATACAATCCACAAAATTCGTGAGAGAAAAACGATGAAGAGAATCGATCAACAATAATATTCCCTTTTCAAATGTTGCGCGAGAAATTCGACCAATTTTTTGTCCATTTCAATTCCTTTGCCTTTGACGCTTCGCATTGCTTGCTTTACACTAAGTTTCGTAAACAATGTCAACTACGGCTGCAGCACAAACAATGTTTTCCAAATACATAGTAGAAAGTTTCAATATATTGCTTATTAATTATTGGTGATAATTAACGCTATTAGTTAAAACTGTTGACTTACTTGTGGAATCTCGGCATTCTTCGAACTCAGTGCAGGATATGTTTCAACCAGTGACAAGGCGATCTGATTTTTGTAGAAGTTGCTGGCGTGCCTGGAAACAAACAAACAAATCAATAATTAGCTATGCTTGTATTAATCAGAAACATCGTCAGCTAGGTTTTCGTTTAAACTAATAAATTACAAAATAACGTTCAATAGATTTCTAGGAACAAAGTGATTACTTACGTTCCATACAATGATTTCAAGCAATCGCAAAGAAGTGCTGTGATTTGTCTTCGAATCGTTTCCTTGGGTCGTCCACCTTCTTTCAGTAGTTCCATGATGCATATTCCGTTGTCGGTTCGATCAAATACCCGATCAATATTGATTTTCTAGAATATATAGAAACAAATATACGTTGATTGAATGACCCACATATAATATTGATACGTTTCAAACCTGCTCCAAGATGATCCCTTCATACGGATTGTTTGCATTGATCACCCTTCTGGACACATCAGCTTGTTCATGATAATCAGCGTCAACCATAGTGTCCTCAAGCCATTCTTCCGTGCTCTTAGTTTCATCGTAATTTCTGTACTGTGTTTGTATCTTCTGTATAGTTTTGATCATTTTTGTAGTGAGTCCGAGTCTGGTAAAGTCATGTTCGTTCAGTGATAGAAACATTTGTAAGTTGTCGATCTCTTCCTTAGCTGAAAAAGAATTACTGCCATTAAATATTCTAAAGTTCCAACAGAGTTATTTGTTAACTACTTGTACTAATAATCTTGATTGTACACTCGCCGTGAAATGTACTTCTTCGGACTGTCGTATGGTGACCAGAATGAAAATATTGAATGCGTATGGCATTCTTCAATAGACATAAAATCATCTTTGGCTAGGATTTCTATCTCGTACGCTTCTAGAAAATCATTATACGTCGCAGTTTTACAGGATCGAATTAGGAAGAAAACTTTTCCATCGATGACATTGATTTCTCGTATAATCCCGTATGTCGGATAGAACTCGTTGTCATGAATTTTTAATCCAAGTATCGCGTTCATTCTGAACTCAACCCCATTAAGCGTGACGGTTTTTGGTTTGCAGATAAACTGCAGATGTGGATACAGAAATTGTTCACTGAGGCAGTCATCACGTAAGGCTAGGGTTCCAGAGTTGAATGTCAGCTTGTCGCGGAATGGCTTATCAAGCACGTTCATTATCATTCTCTGACATTGCCGCTTGCCCAAGCTGGAACAAATATTCTTAAAGTTTTTGCACGTATTCGCTTGATTCTTGCTTATTTTGTTCGTTTGTTCAAATTGAAAGCAATTGTATTGTTTCATTGAACCACTCTTCCTTATGCAGAGAGCGTAGTGACGCAAGTGATGCAACTTGTTGATACGCTGCTTAAAGTTTTCGAAAAAACTATCCTCAAAGTATGTTATATGTTCTTCCAGCTGTGCAAGTAGGTGTTCAGATACGACTGGTGACGAAATTATCCTCACGATATTAATTAGATGACCGATCATACGCATGAGCATACAATCCTTGGAGACAACATGACCATAAAGGAACGGGAAAGCTCTTATCAAGAGAAGAGACTGTGCAGATGTTTGTTTGATTTTATGCTGGGCAGGGTTAGCGAGCATTTCGTCTTTAAAATTTGGTGAAGGTTTGTTGCAGCGGTCAGCGTAACCAAAAGGAAATGTGTTAATGCGATTGTTTATGAACTTTGCTGTTATCTTTAAATGTTTTTGTTTGTATAAAGTTGATAGCACTAGTTGGATCGTCAGGGGCACTATCCCTTCAGCAAGGTCGTGCATGCTGTCGAGGCAGAAGTTGTTACTGGTATGGTAGAACTCTAATTCATTGAAAATACATCCTGATGTACTCAGTCCACAATCTTTCGGTATCAGCAAACCATCCTGTACTGCAGCAAGTTGATCTTCATACCATTCTTTCGATCGCAACGGATATTCTTCGGATGGATTTGAATGAAATTGATTCCTTGTAATCTGGCAAATTCGGCAAAAATAGTTGGCCCTTGGTCCAAGTAACCCAAACACGTCATGAACCGCAAGTGTATCGCCGCAGAAAATCGTCATAACAGCTCTTAAGACGAATTTCTCTGAACCGTAATAAACCGTTACGCCTTGTTCCAACTTTTTTAGGTCAGCGACGAAAGGCTCCAGAATTTTTGTGAATCCATGCTTTTTTATGTCTACTGAAGTACAGAATAGAAGCGGAAAAGCTGTACGTGGTGAAGAATTCCACTTCTCAGGAATATTCTGTATTTTGAAACATAAGTTAGAAACTTTATTTATACCGGCTTTTGAACCGAATGCGTTGCCAAGTTCCACATCGTCTTGGTAAACACTGATCCTGATGGCATTAGGATACAGTTGAAAGAATTCGCTATTTTTGAAAATTTCACCTGTCCTGAATGAGCTGTATTCGGTTACACAAGGCGTGCTGGAAGTTTCTAGATTCGGTTCATTCAAAAGTTTCCGATTTTCTGGGCTTCTGAATATGAATTTCAATGAATCAATAATGCTGGTGTACGAAGCGGTCTCGTTTACCATAACTTTTTTAGGAAGTGATTCGATGTGGCGTACATCTTGTCTCCGATTAAGCAAAATATCCCTCGGCTTGGGTGTAGAAACGGCAAGCTTATTCAAGTACTGTGTCTGCTTTTTGAAGGATCTGACCTGGTCAAAAAGATTGCATAGTCTAAATGTATTTAGAAACGCTACGGAATCCTTCGTGTCAACATCAAATCCTTGTGCACTCAAAAATTTCACAGTTTCTGCCTCAAGGTACCCTGATACGTGCCGAACTATTTCGTCACAAAGCTTTATAAAATCATTGATTTTTGTGTAAGGTAAACCTACATCATATGTAATGCGGCAGATGCTAATATTTATTATTTTTATTAACTCTTCCAAATCTATACTTGATTCGAGTTTAGGACCGTTCTGTTGATTCTGGAACAATAAATCATCATATGTTCCTTGTCCTGCCACAGGACAATCATCAAAAATTTCTTCCACGGTAGAACCAACAATCAATACGAAACTAACGATTTTAAATTGGCTCACCACTTTAGTAGCCTATTGGTCCCAAGCAAACGATTAACGTACCCTATTCTAGTTGAAATTCTATTACTACACTATGTTTGTTTTGATTCGCTATGAAATTTTGACAGATAACGTCAGGGGTGTGTGGATTCATGCAGAACATGCAGGGGTGAGTGAAATAGCTTGGGACTGCTTGGGACCGTTGTTCTGGTACTGAGTGAGCCAAAAATAATAATGATTTTCTTCGGGACCCAGTGGTTTTAGAGTTACCTCTATGGTAGAACGTCGAGAGTTTGCCGGATGCTTTTCCACTATATGCCGTTTCAGCGAATAAAAACTCCCGTAACGCGAGTTACAGCGTGGAAAAGCACAGTCAAAAAAAATATCACTGGCTTTGAAGTCATTTTTATGCAAATGGTTTTTAAAATGCCTTTGCAAGCCAGTGACATAACCCTGTATATTTTCACGGCAGTAAAAACAAACGATAGCACAAGATTCCTGCAAATAAAATCATAGCATTAGTTTCAAATACTTACAAAAGATGTCAATCAAACGTGCATCCTCCTGTTGCAGCTGCTCCAGAACCTTTTCCATTTTTGCACACGTCCGACACACGTCCACACTCGAGAAAAAATGGCTGAATAGTTTTAGACTCAGCTTATAGAACCTCGTAGAGAACCGAGTTTTCGGTTAAATTTTCCGTCGCGAAGTTGAGCGCAAGTGGAACGTTTGACGTTTAACACGTTTTAGCGAATATTCGGTTCAGTTTACCGAGTTTCTCGGTTTTCACGTACCGAATTCGTAAATGTTGATACTTTACCGTACTTTTCGGTTCAGCCTTCGTTTTTATCTGTCAAATTTATACTATTTTACCGAAATTCGGGTCTGATTTTATAAATCCGCCTAAAAAAATGTTTTTAAACGATTTATTCGGTTTCTCGTTGATAACCGATGAGGTTCGGTAGAAAATTAAACCGAGTTCGGTATTATTTTCTAAGTGTGTGCTAAACTTTAACTGAAATGGTTATGGAACTTTACATGAACGTTTAATGATAAAGTTTCAACCTTATGTATTATGGTTTTTTGGAAATGGACCTTACAAATAATGGGTTGTTAAGAACCATTACCATTCCAAATTCTTGTTTTCTCCATACATTTTCAGAAAGAGAACTATATAAGAACGTTTTTACTTATGATTTGAGAACATTAATGGTAATGGTTATGGTAGTCAGTAAGGTCCATTAATGGTTTTGTATTATCGCTCAACTTTACGTGGAATATATCGTGAATTGGTAATCAGTAAATTACAGGCAACCAATTCGCGATATATTCCACATAAAGTTGATTGATGTTACAAAACCATTCGTGGACCTTACTGACTACCATAACCATTACCATTAAAATTCTCAAACCATAAGTTAAAAGGTTCTAATATAGTTCTCTTTCCGAAAATGTATGGAGAAAACAAGAATTTGGAACGGTAATGGTTCTTAACAACCCATTATTTGTAAGGTCCAGTTCCAAAAAACCATAATACATAAGGTTGAAACTTTATTTTTAAACGTTCATGTAAAGTTCCATAACCATTTCAGTTGAAGTTTAGCAGGGATTATAAACAATTTTTAACCATTTTAGGTAAGGTCAATTTATGGTTCGCGTTTATGCGGGTTTGAAATCATCTGTCGATTAAACCGAGGGGGACGACTCTATCTACGATGCAGAAAAGATTGTGTTTTGTTGTGGCTAGCTGCACGCACTCTGAGTAGATAGAAGGAAGATTTATGTCGATTTTGAAGATTTCCTGCAAAAAGATGAAGCGCGATGCAAGTAGATGCGAGAAATGAAAGATGATTTTTCGAAGATTGATTCGCTAGTGTGAGATTTTTTGAGCATCTAGAATTGAAATTTAGATGTGTCGCCCCCCTCGGATTAAACAACAGACAAAGTTGGCCGACTAATAGTACGTTCAGACTACAGAGTTATAACATGTTATAGCGCTATCTTGATGGTGGTTGCTGTGTTGCAATTATTTGACAACCGTTATAACATGTTATAACTCTCCAGTCTGGACAGCGTTTAAATCAATCGACGAAAAACTATTAAATAGGCCGATTGCTCGGTGTAGCACCAGACGAAAAACGATTTAATCTGCTGATTAATACACCGACTGAAATTAATTTTTAAGTGACAATAGATTTAGTCGCTGGGTGAATCGGGTGATTTGGATGATTCTTGTTTATTTGGAAGATATTTTCGAAATAAAGCACGATAAAATTCAGCATTATATACCATTATTACGAGTACTACTTTTTTGTTCGGATCCTGTTTTGACTTCCACAGAAACTCGCGAGAATAAATAGAAAATAATAGTTTTTTGGTTGAAGTTTCAAAAATGTATTCAGTTTGACACATTATTTCGAACTTATCACCGCTGCGATTGCAGCGCCACGGTGGCCGATTGAAACTTGGATTTGTCAATAATGAAATAGTTGTTGCACGGTTGTTTCCGGGAGAGAAGAAGAACACATCCAATTGTCTCCTCTTCCTCTTAGCTTAAATGACGCCGGCGCTGGTGTTGTGTAGTGGTAAGCGTGACTGCTTTCTAACCCCAATGGGTCTGGGTTCAATCCCAGCCGAGGTCGGTGGGATTTTTCTGAGGCATAAAAATATCTGGTCACGTCTTCCTTCGGAAGGGAAGTAAAGCCGTTGGTCCCGGCCCATGTGTGTTGATGAATGGGTGCGATATCCTACGCAGGTGTGGAAGCTGCCTTCCTGCACATTCGATTGCCGTCAATGGATGGCAATCGATGTCCGTCGTTGATTGGCACTAGATTGCGGAACAGAGACCGACGTTAAATAAAGGAAAGAATAAGATGAAGACATTTGTGATCGGGAAGCAATACGAAGATAATACCGGTTGGAGAATACAAAAAAGGCCAATAATTGATTGCTTAATCATTCGTTTCAGGGACCTATTGATCAACTTCAACGGCCAGGACTGGGGCAACAATGGACCGGGCGTAATCACCCGGGTGCTGAAGCGAATATGCAGCACCAAGGCACCGCTGATGATGACACGCGAGCGCTGCCGCTACTTCACCGTGTACCCACCGGAGGCCTTCTATGCCATAAACTTCGACGACTATCTGCAGTTCTTCGAGGAACGGTGGCTGGACCAAGCGCTCGCCACCCTCAACCGATCCATCGTGACGCACGTGTGGAACAAGTTTAGCAGGGATAACAAGGTACGGGTTGGCTCCCGGGTTGCCTACGGGGTGCTAGCGGAACAGTACTGTCCGCGTGTCTACAAAGCGAGCGGGGAGTTTTTCTAGCTTAGAGGTTCGATCGTCTGTCGGGTTGAGTTGGGTTGTACGTTCAACAGATGTGTGGGTGTGTGAGTGTGGGGGTTGTCGCATTTAGCATAAATTTTCCCGGAAAACCGATAGAAATGTTCTACGAAGGAAGCTTCTATAGTTGTAGCATGACTGAAACTAACTCGAATAACACGCTGGGTACCTCGAAACAAAAAAACAATATCGCGGAAGCTTGGAAGATATCGTTTTTAGCCAAATTATCAAAACTTAGGCAAGATAGAGTGAAACAAAAAAACAGATTATTCCGGAAAATTGTGTTCTGCGAAAAAAAAAATCCCTGGAGAGCTTTGTGCCGAATGAGCTTCTCCCGTGAGTGTGTATTATTTCGTACGTGTTACTAAGGCATGGTTAAGTTTTAGAATAATTAAATATTAAGGAGAGGAAAAGCAAAGCAAGATCCTAGATGTGTAATATGCATTTTAAGTAAACATTTGGTGTTAGAATTTCTATTATGCGTTTCTAGAGTGCTGATGTTTGTAACTAGTGCCTACATCTACTCTTTCTCCTACGTCTATGCAGGCATCAATCCACAAACTATGGTAAGCGCAAAACAAATAACAGTATTTCCAGCTGTAAATCTAATGGCTGTCAAACCTAACCTACGAAATACTGAATGCCATTATTATGTCTCGAAAAAATCAGGCACAGTGATAGGAGCAACAGACTCCGATATTTAAATGTTCTGCATGAAGATGCCTTTATTGGTCTATTTGCCTCATTTTACCATCTTCTACGCATTACCTCGCATCTCACAAAATTCATGTCAGGGCCACGAAGGGCATTTTGATTACAAATTATATTCAACTATGTTTGCAGAGTGATTGCTTTTTTTTAATAATTTGGACCCATCATCGATTGAAAGCGCAGTATTGAAAGTTTTAAATGTAAGCAAATAATTGTATAGAAAAGAATGTGACTCTGAACTGAAAAATTTGAAAACCATCTGGCAACACTGAAAATTGATTCAACATTTTGTATGTACAGTGCTGTTCGATAAACATACAAAATTGACAACTTTGTTCTCTTAAGATCAATTGTGCTGAAACGTTCGCCACAGAACTACAAATATGTTCAAGTTTACGATTACAAAATACCATATTTTTGGAAGCACGTGCCGGAAAGTGAGATACTAGTTAAAATTGTTCCAAATAATACTAGTTGTCAAGCAGGCTCAATTGCTCATTACAGCTAAAATGCTATTTTTCGGTATTATGAAACAATGGGATACTATAATGATATTTGATAAGATACAAGAAGTGGTAGAGTTTGTATATGATATTTAAAATTTGTCAAATTTGCTTTCAGAAGGTCACAACTAGCGATCTCGTCCTTGGAAATCGGTGGATTTAGGCCGTTCTTAACCCTACATTAACCGTAAAATGCTCAATAATTACTACAAAGGAATTAATAATGACTAATCAAATAAGCATTTTCGATGGAAAATTGAACTACCCATTAAATAAGTAAAATGATACTCATAAATTGATAATTGTTATTCAGTTTTATAGCAACAGCTACTCAGAAATGGGTACAAAAATCACATTTCATGGGTAGTCCAATTTTCCTTCAAAAATGCGTACATTTGGGTAGTCATAATTGAATATTTTCCGGTTACCGTGTACGTAGTCTGAGATCAATTAGCTATTCGAGTGAATCTTATTTAACAATCGATATTTTAGAAAAAAAATGTGATTATGAGCTCATGCTCCCAACTTCATCAACTACGAATAAGTGACATACATAGGACCAAGTGTGGACTCAAATAGTTTAGTTTTCATCATGATTCTCGTTTTCTTCATAGATGTTTTTTTTTAAACTTGTCGCAATCAAAATTATATTCATCAAAGTCCACCATCACATGATCATATTTTTTTTTATTTCCGAAGACTAACTAGTAGGATAGGTCATCATGATCATTTTTTCAGAACAATGTTTTTTTGGTTCCATTTGGGGTCCCAAACAACTGTGCAAAATTTGGGACTGGGACTTGAGACTGAGTGTGAAAGCACTGCACTATTCAATCCATTGCTCTGTGCAGACCGTTTGTACCAAACGGTAAAGGACGACACAATGAAAGAGCCAACAAAAACATTCAGTCACTCACGAGCAGGCGACGCACACTGCTTGCCTTCGCTCACACAGCATGTAATTGAGTCATTTTTCCATTGAAAATGTACGCTCAGTTATTCAAAACAAATATTGGGTCCATCACGGCAGAATAAACGTGTTGACTGAGCTACTGACTGAGTGCTCGGCTGTCAGTGACTCGTTTACCTCTCAATCATTCAGACTCTCAGGAGGCAGTGAATGATGAGGCAGATGGCAGTTCATATTCATATCAAAATGACTCAATGAACCTGACTGTTTTGCGCACTGCTTTCCGCATTGCGTTTGAAATTTGTGTGGAAATTAGTATGGGAAAACCTACCTTTTTGCATCTTTATTACTAGGGACCATAATTTTGCACAAACTACACATCTAAATGCGTTAAAGTATAGCCCAGGAAGTGCCTAAAAGCTTTGCTCAAGGATGTATTGTGCTAGAATGCCCCTTAAAAAAGTTATAGCTGTTCAAAGAGCAATGTTTAGAATTAAATGTCAAAAATCCCTTTTTCTACCAACACTGTACCAATGAAAGTCCGACTCCAAATTGAAATAATTTCGAAGTTAATTATTTTATCGGTTTGGTATGTTCAGATGAAATTTTCAAAAACAATAGATCTATCTCATATGCGTAGTCGGAGGGGGGATTGCGGGAGGGGGGGGAGTAACTCATATCAAGTTTCAAACTGAAATAACTTCGTTGTTCGTATTCAAAAACAATTTTTCAATCTCATAGGCATATTAAGAGATGAGGGGGGCTAACTATACTCCGCCCCCCTCACTCATATAAATGGAAGTAAAACTTGAAACTGCAATAACTTCTGTGTTTCTGATCTGATCTTGTCAAGTTGGAATGTTCAGATGTATTCAAAAACATGTGCTCCATTTAATAGACGTAGTTTGATATGGGTGGTTTTTTTTTTCCTTGTCGGGTATTTTCATCACTTCGACCATTTTTCTGATCTATTGTGATATATCTAGATAGAGCTGGAATTAGGGCGTAACAGCCTTTCTAAACAATGACTTCTTTCGTTGATTTCTCGGAATTCAAGGCACGCCTACACAAATAAACATAACCATCGGGTAGAGGAAGTCTTCCTCTACTCGATGGTGATGTCGATTTGCCAGGGAGAGCCATGGCTTCTGAGAAATCATCGAGATAAGTCATTGTTTACAAAAGCTGTTACGCCCTAATTCCAGCTCTATCTAGATATTCCCCATTTTTTTTTCTTTAGCTATATCAAGATGTCGTATCACTATTATTAGGAGTGATCGCCATCGTTTGACTAATAGCATTATCCCAGCACGGCATTATAAAGGGTGATACGGTCAAAATTTGGTCAAGGGAAAACGCGTGTAAATCGGTGAAATCGTTTATTTAAAAAATCAAATTAAATTTCTTTTTCAAGTTCAATTAGTATAAAATTCAGGAAAAATATTCAGTTAGGCTTCCGCTTTTCCAAATCCGAATTGCCGGGCCTTACGCTTGACCCCTGCCATCAGATTTTGTACAGCCACCTTGTCCACCTTCTTCGCCGCAGAAAGCCAGTTTGCCTTGAACTGCTGCTCGCCCTTAGCAGTTTTTTTGGTCTTCTTTAGGTTCCGCTTGACAATAGCCCATTATTTCTCAATTGAGTGGAGCTCTGGCGTGTTGGGAGGGTTCTTGTCCTTGGGAACCACCTGCACGTTGTTGGCGGCGTACCACTCCATGGCCTTTTTACCGTAATGGCAAGATGCCAAATCCGGCCAAAACAGTACGGAACAACCGTGTTTCTTCAGGAAAGGCAGCAGACGTTTATTCAAACACTCTTTCACGTAAATTTCTTGGTTGACAGTCCCGGAAGCTATGAAAATGCTGCTTTTCAAGCCACAGGTACAGATGGCTTGCCAAACCAGATATTTCTTTGCGAACTTTGACAGTTTCATGTGCTTGAAAACATCTGCTACCTTTCCCCTTCCTTTTGCCGTATAAAACTCCTGTCCCGGAAGCTGCTTGTAGTCGGCTTTGACGTAGGTTTCGTCGTCCATTACCACGCAGTCAAACTTCGTCAGCATCGTCGTGTACAGCCTCCGGGATCGCGCTTTGGCCGTCGTATTTTGTTTATCATCGCGATTTGGAGTCACTACCTTCTTGTAAGTCGATAGTCCGGCTCGTTTTTTGGCTCGATGCACGGTTGTAGACGATACACCCAGCTTATTTGCGGCATCTCGGAGAGAGAGGTTAGGGTTTCGCTTGAAACTACCGGCAACTCTCTTTGTCGTCTCAGCGGCTTCCGGTTTTCGATTTCCCCCCGATCCAGACTTCCTGGCTGTCGACAAATGTTCCCCAAACACTTTAATTACATTTGTAACGGTTGATTTGGCAACTTTTAGCGATTTTGCCAACTTTGCGTGCGAGTAGCTCGGATTTTCGCGATGCGCGAGCAAAATTTTGATACGCTGCTCTTCTTGCTTGGACGGCATTTTGACAACTGAAGAGTGAATTCCAAAATCAAAATAGGAGCAACATTCTACACACACACACCTTCAAAATGAGGGGTGTTCAGGTTTTTTAAATGCAAAATTGAAAGAAATACGTCAAGTTGATATTGACCAAATTTTGACCGTATCACCCTTTACTTCGAATAAAGTGCACTGCCGTACTGGGAGTTGTTCTCCAAATGTCAAAGGGTTCTATCAGCCCCTTGTCGAAGAACTTACGCTTTTTATTGAAAATTGCCGGACAGTGGCATAGCAAACGTTCCGAGTCTTCCTTTTCTATGCCACATCATTTTGAAGTTTTCCAATCAGCTTCAAGTGATAACGGCTCGGACAATGACTTGTTATAAGACCTATATATATATGGTAAGATCTTTCTTAGAAAGTTCCAGGATTTTGTGGGTCACAGAAATGTTTGGATTAATAAATCGCTTCGACTGCCAAGCAATAGAAGTGTTCTTCCAGTTTTCCTTTTGAAAATTCCCACGCTTTTAGTTCCATTCTAAGAGATGCAGCCGATAAGCCACAAAAGGGCTCTGGCCCGATGAACTTATGAGAAGATCCGAGTCTTGCTAGTGCATCAGCTCTTTCATTTCCCTCAATCCCACAATGACCAGGAACCCAATATAAGTTGACTTAATTATGACAAGACAATTTTTGAAGTGATTGAACACACTCCCAGACAAGTTTTGATGTACATGTCACCGACATTAAAGCATTTAGAGCAGTTGGACTGTCAGACATCACGCATATATTTTTTTTAAATTGCTTGGATTTCAGCTCGGAACACAGTTGGCCATCTGCCCATAGGAACCGATATTTCTATCCCTGGGCCAGTTACTCCTGCTCCCACTTGATTGTTCAATCTTGAACCATCTGTATAAAAAAAACAATCCGATCTGGACGAAGAACCGGGCCACCCAATTGCCATGAATTACGCCCAGGGTCAACTACTTGAAAAAGTCGATTGAAATTGTATCTTTTCTCCATCCAGTCTTCGTTGTTCCTTACTAGAGAGTTGATACTAACAGTTTTTAGAATCCTAAGATGTCCTCTAAGGTCTCCTTCAAAGAGTTTCACTGACCTTGTAATCCTTAGAGCACACTTTTCGGCTTCTAATATAAAGCAAAGCATCCAATGCCTTCGATGGTGTACTCATCATTGCACCTGTTATTGAGAGAGTTGCTAACCTTCTCTAACTTTGTCTGAGCAACACTCTCTTTTGTTTTTGACCACCAGACCAATGCACCACAAGTAATCCTGGGTTTCACAATTGCCGAGTAAATCCAATGGATCATTTTCGGTTTCAGTCCCCACTGTTTACCAAATGTTCTTTTGCATATCCATAGAACATTAGTAGCTTTGTTTATTGCCTGCTCTAGGTGCATATTCCAATCAAGTTTACTATCGAGGATTACTCCAAGATATTTGACAGCATTGGAAAGTTCCAAAACTGTGCCTTTCAATCTTATGTTGTCTAATGAAAATTTCTTCCTTCGGGTAGATGGCACGATAGTAGTTTTAGAAGGATTTATGTTTAATCCTTCCCTATCACACCACGATGAGACAAAATTTAAAGTAATTTGCATTCTGTTAGCGATAATACAATCATATTTGCCACGTACTATTATGACTTTATCATCTGCGAAGCCAATTATTTCGAAACCTTGGGCTATTAAATTTTTGAGAAGATCATCAACTATTAAAGACCACAATAGAGGTGATAACACGCCTCCTTGCGGGCATCCTTTGGTTGCTCTTACACTGATGAGTGAGCTTTCAAGGTTTGCTGATATTTCTCTTTTTGATAACATTTCATTGATCCAATTTACAATACTTTGATCGAAACCACGTTTCATCATAGCTGTAGTCATTGAATCGTGAGATGAATTATTGAATGCACCTTCAATGTCAAGGAATGCAGCAAGTGAAATTTCTTTTGCTTCAAAAGATCTTTCTAGTTTTGTAACAACCGTATGGAGTGCTGTTACTGATGACTTGCCTTCCTATGGGTGGGCTTACTGGTATGCTTTCTGGCCCTCATTTATATCAATGAAAGTAAAGATAAAGACTAAAATAACTTCGGAGTTTCCCATCTCTCGAGTTGTTCGGATTGGTTATTCAAAAACATTTGCTCAATCTCATAAGAGCAGTTGTAAAGCGGTTACTCCCATTCTCTTCCCTACTCTTTTGGTGCAATATACAATGTCAGATATATTCACACAAATGTCATTGGATTGTAAGAATTATATTTCATTTTTATATATTCTACGATTTCTCTGGGTACTCTTTTCGATGCTGTTCTATCCCTTGAAGCAAATATTGATGTTGAACTAGGTCTCGGGTGGATTTCTTGATAAGTCAGAAATTAGATTCACCCCTCATTCAGCCATATCGTTGACAACCATCAAGAAAGCAACCCGTTGTATCGCATTGAAATAATCTGTATCATTACTCCACTCGTTTGCCGGTTTTTGCAAGAAGTCGGCCGAAATTTCGAAAAGGAATCAGCACTGTTAGAAGTGACGTTTAGCTTGGGAGCCCAACTGAAACTTAGCCCAACAAGCGAAATCCGACTGTACCTGTGTCTGAGACGAAACTGGTGAAGACAGTTTTCGTTTTCTCTTGTTTTTGGTTCTTGACGTACGACTACTTCTGTGTTTTCTATATGCGTGTGGCCCGAATGGCAGTTTACTATTTCTAATAAAAGCTTTGTAGAGAAATTTAAAATTTTCCAGCTGCTAATAATTCAAACATCTCTTCACTAACAAATGAACGGACAAGTGGATATTAAATATTTACACTACAACAATTTTCGTTTTAAAAACTGCATATAGCAGGGCTGATAGTGGGTCACTTTTTAGTGACTTTGTCACTTTTTTTAAGGTGGTCACTAAAAAGTCCCTATTTTCGACAAAAAGTCACTAGAGTCACTTTTTTCGCCATTCCCGCTTGAATTGCAATGTAAAATTCTTTAAAAAATCAATAAAAAATGTAACAGTGCTACACCATACTTAGTTCTTAGTTGGAAGTTCCTTAAACTAACGAACGAAAAAGTACGCAGAAGAAACCAAGACAAGACATCATCAAAGCACACTTTTATTTGCGATTTCGCACCTTTGAGGAGTCCAGATTCAACTGCAAAATTAAATAATCAGAGTGACCGGGAAATCGGGATAACCG